ACCTACATGGACGTCCACCGGGCCGGTGGAGGGATCCACTTCACGGTGGAGCACACTCGAGCCGCGAGGTCTTTTGAGCTGCTGGCCTCCCTCTGCAGCCGGTTGGTCCGGATGCAGCGGGCTGGTACTACCCTGGTGGAGTGTAAGAGCGGATATGGCCTGGAACTGCAGACTGAGCTGAAGATGCTGGAAGTGATCGAGCAGGCCAGACAGAGCTTGCCCATCAACATCTCCTCAACCTACTGTGGAGCCCATGCAGTGCCCAAGTAAGGACCATCCTCAAACTTCTCTAATTTCACATCACATCTTGAAAAATAGATCTTTACCATCCTTTTTATTCAGGGGGAAGACAGTTGCAGAAGCCACAGAGGACATCCTGCAGGTTCAGCTGCCACGGCTGAAAGAACAGATGTCTGCTGGGACTCTCAGAGTCGACAACATAGACGTGTTCTGTGAGCAGGGAGTGTTTGACCTCAACTCTACTCGCTCCATCCTGCAGGCTGGCAAAGACATGGGCCTCAACATCAACTTCCACGGAGATGAGCTTCATCCTATGAACTCTGCTCAGGTATCACTTACCCCTGAAGCTGTATTTATTGTGTTTTTGGCCACTTGGGGGACACGAGCTTAAAAATATCTGTCTCTGATGTATTCTGTTTCTAATATTTTGTCCACCCTATTTATATCAGTGAGGGTAGACAAATTTTTTTTTTTTTATTTAGACCAGCTACAGCCTCCAAAATGACCTTATATTAGCATAAACATCTCTTTAAAACAGTTTTGACAAAAACTGGAAACTACATTTTAACCTTAAAACAGTTAAATTGATGAAGCAAAACCAGTTTTTATTTTTATTTATTCCACACATTCTTCTTCATTGTCAAAATGTTGTGCCTACATTACCAACAATTAACCTCAGTGAGTATGTGTGTGTCAGCTGGGTGCAGAGCTCGGAGCCTTAGCCATCAGTCACCTGGAGGAGGTCACAGACGAGGGGATCGCTGCCATGGCAGCAGCAAGAACTGCTGCAGTCCTTCTGCCAACCACAGCGTATATTCTACGGTATTGTGTACATTTACTCAAGTACTGACCTACTTAGGTAAACGTCTGAGGTAGATGTACTTTACTTGTGTACTTTTACTGCTACTCCACTACAATTATAAAGCTTAAGTTACTAGTTAGGATACTTTACAAATACATTTTTAGCAAAACCCATAGAGCATATAAAATATGATGCTTTGTTATAAATTAAAACACCAAACAGTTAGTTAGTTACAAAAGTAGAGCTGGAGCTATCAATTAAACAAGTCAATTGACAAAAGGATTTGGCAACTTTGGCTATTAAACATTTGAGTTTATTATTTTGGAAACTTGGTTGTGCCGAAGTGTCCAGTCTGTGCTGGGAATGCAAGTATATCCTGTGTATGAAGAAGAGCACATGTTAGGTAAACCTGCCACGTGTTGAATGTAGATACGTTTCCCATGTCTTATTACAGATTACACCACACAACTAGTTTGATAATTGATAAAAAACATTTCATGGTTCCAGCTTGCCAAAAGGGTGTATTTGCTGTTTACCCTTTTGATTATTTTAATAATCTTCATTTATTTTTAAACAATTTTGGGCTCTGGGAAATTGTGATTCTCACTATTTTTTTTTCAAACTAAACAATCAGTTAATTGAAAAAAATGAAATAATCATTTGTTGCAGTCTGATACAAAATAGTATAAAATTAGTTCCAACTAACTACAATGCTTTTACATTAATTATGTATCATAATAGAAATTTAATGATATAATATCACGTGACATTTTTCTGCAAAAGTACATAATACTTTTTTTTAAAAACCAAGTATATTTTCCTGATTAAAATTATGTACTTTTCTTAAGATTTAAAATGTAGGACTTTTATTTGTAATGGAGTATTTTCACAGTGTGGTATTAGCACTTTTGTTCAAGTCAATTTACTTAAGTGAATACTTCCTCCACCATTGTTTAACAATGTTTTTAATGTAGGCCTATTTATAGTGTATTGTATGTACTTGGTACATTTTATTTCTGTGTGTGCATCTTTTGTGTAATTGTGGTGTTTATTCTGATCCTTGTATGTTTTATCTTGTGCCCTGACTGCAAGTCAAGTTTCCCACTGTCTGATAATCTGTGTGTGTTCAGGCTGCCCCAGCCTCGGGCCAGAGACATGTTGGAAGCTGGAGTTATTGTTGCCCTCGGCAGTGATTTCAACCCCAATGCCTACTGCTGCTCCATGGTGAGTGCAACAGGACAGGTGTGAGGTGGAAGGGTGAAAAGCAGAGGAGTGGTGCATGATGGTAACAACTCATACTTTCTATCCTCTTTATATTTGTGCTGTCCTCTCTGTCTTCCTCAGCCGATAGTCATGCACCTGGCCTGTGTCAATATGAGGATGTCCATGTCGGAGGCTTTGGCTGCAGCCACCATCAATGCAGCCTACGCCCTTCGGTGCTCCCACACACATGGTTCCCTGGAGGTCAACAAACATGGAGACCTGCTGATCCTCAACACCACACGGTAAATCAGGACAGAAAAAGTAGTCACGATTGACATCCACAGAAAATAATTTATTTTTTGTCCCATGTGCAATGGTGGAAGAAGTATTCAGATCCTTTGCTTAAGTAAAAGTACTAACCACACTGTGAAAATATTCCACTACAAGTCAAACTACTGCAGCCTGTTGCACAATCTCTTTGTAAATTCAAACTAGTTAAAATGTAAATTAGTTTGTTGTGATTTATGCATTACTAAAATAAAAATTATGCATTACTAAAAAGCAGTTGCACCACAGAGATAAGTTACAACAAAACTCTAAGTAACAAGCAAATACGTACTCATGCCCCAGGGTAGGTGTAAATCATAATATGCCACAGAATTATACTCACTAATAGTAAAACATCTGTTTTTCTGGCCCACATCATCATTTTTCATAAATTGCATGCCGTTTTGCACCACAGTAATCCAGTAGATACCTTATTTATTGATATATTTCAATATTGATCTAGCTCACTCTACAGTGAGCTACGATACCAAGTGGCAAAGGCCTGCCAGAAAACTAATGGGCATGGTAACCATGACAAGAGAACAGTGATCGTTGATTGGCCACTTGCCTTAGTTACAACTTTATGTTGACACTAGTTAGGTTCTGCCCCAAGTAACCTTGCTGCAAGCAATTTTAGTAGCGGATATAGTTTCAAACTTACTAGTATTTACTAATAAGTCTCTAGTGTTACTTAGGACAGAACTTACACATGGCTGGTGCAACCCAGTGCTGCATTCAAAACCTTAAGTAAAAGTATATTGTATGATAGTATTATTGGCTAAGTTTACTAAAAGTATCAAAAGTAAAAGTACTTATTCTGCAGGAAAATGGCAACTATATACTGTTGAGTAGTTTAATCTATAGCAATGCATCATATTCTTTAAGTCATCATCTCTTAAAAAAAAAAAAAAAAAACCCCAGCTGTTTTCAGGTTTGCTGCAATGCATGTTGTCGGTTCATGGTAAAAAGAATCAGAAGGTATATCAAATCTGGCTTTACTGCCAGAGATACAAACAAGTCAACCAACAAGGATCCTCTTTCATGAAAGGTTATAGCTAATATGGTGACAGTGTCATTATTATTTGGTATTTTAGAAATTTATTTTTTGTTTTCATACCTCTGAGCGAAATATTGTCCCTCATGCCAGAATTCAAGCTAGAATTTTATGCCTCAAATACCTCAGACTAAAGTGAACATCACTAATCATTAATTAGATCTAATAAATCAAGAGAACAGCAGATCTAGCAGAGCCTTATCTATTAAGAGCCATGTATCTAAGACAGTCTGTGAAACCCCAAAGTTCATTTATTATTACACTGCTGCCGGCATCCTGTACAAAACTCTAGCTTTGTATACTAATTGGGCATTTGCAGGATTTTTGTATCCATTACTTTAGCATACAGGTTGAGTAAGAACATAGTCTTAGTGATAATAGTAAGAGTGAATAAGATGTTTGATAAGATCACAAAATGCTATATGCAAATTTCACCTTATATAAGTAACGCTAAATCAACTGATTTAACCTTTACTTCTAACTAAAATAAAGTTTAAAAAGAAGTTTAACTATTTATATTAATGTATTAATTAGAACTTAGTATGCTTTTTGTTGTCATTACAACAGCATCAGCTTGTATAGAGGTTTTATTCTTACAAACTAGTATGGCACACGTTAAGTATTTACTGTTTTTGTATGTGTGTAAAACTGATCCTCTGTTTTTTTTGTGTAGATGGGAGCATCTGATCTATCAGCTGGGAGGACATCAGGAGCTAATCCGTTATGTTGTCATCAAAGGCAACGTCGTCTTTGATAATGACAGAACCATGGATTTATAATCAGAAAATAATCTGCTGACTGATTCAGATAAGTAAAGGTACTATTAATAATACTGATCAGATAACGACATATATTCAGCTGTGATTTTAAAGGAATACTGTGTCAGGAAAGCAGTAGCTGTGCTGTCTAAGTCCTGGAGTCTGCGCTGGTTTCACCAATTCCAGTATTTATGCTAAGCTAAATGGCAGCTGGCTGTTTATATTTAACCCATTGGAAACATGTTAACTGTTGATTAAAACCTGTCTCTCTATTCATGTATCTGTTTCTGTAATGTAGAGCACACACACGTTCTGTCAGTAAAAAGCATTTTAAGTTATCAGTTATTCTATGACTTCAGCAAGCAGAGGAATTTCATTATTACCTAAGACACAGGTAAAATATTTGCACCTCAAGTGATCAAAGAGTTAATTGATTTACCCTTGTTGACATTTGAAATGACCAGATGCTCACCCTGTTTTTATCTGTATAATCAAAGAGCTGGGGTTTGACAATCAGAGAGAAGGCAGATACCAAAAATGAAGAGTGGAAGAAAACAAAAGTCACGAGTCAGTAATTATCACAACACCTGAATCAAAACACTACCACAAATTATTCTAACTTTTATAAAGAGTGCTTTTATTGAACATGTTAGTACACAATGCTTTTAATAAAAATCTAAATGGATCCATACATTATATTTTTGATAATTATTGCTTTCAACAACCAAACAAAACTATTCTCAATTTTTTCTCTCTGCTCTGATTACCAGAGGCCAATCCTCATCACAAATTATAATGTGATTTTAAAAAGCAAAACAAAGGAAAACTAGTTCAATTGCTATTCACAACAATAAATGGTGGATAGATGAAAATGTGAGATAAAAGACTGCAGTGTAACACAATAACTGGCTTATTTTTACTATAAACAAAAGGTGAGGGGTAACACATATGGCCGACTGATATTTTATGTAACCAATTTTGACAGTATGACCCCGTTAATCCCATCAGGCTTCATACTTCTTCCCTGCTCGGTGGATCTGTTGGTAAAGCGTCATTGAGAAAGCCATACCAAGGAGCTGGGAAAACGACAATAAACCCATATTAAAAACAAATGAACTAGTGCTGTTTAAGACTTTGTGTAAGTGCTACATAAAGAGTAGCTTACCTGTATGACCAGCACACACATGGCGATGGTTCCCAGAAGATGTTTGTTGTCATCCAGCCACTCCTCTACCTTATCATAGCAGCCCTGAAAACACCGTAATTAGGAAGGGAGAAAAAAGTACTGAATATCAGAAGGTATTCAACTCTTGCTTTCATTGTTTCACTATAGAGTTTACAAAACTACATTTTTCTGCTTATGTTTAGTCTAACCATTTGAAATCCGCATAGACTTAAGGTCTTGTTTAACACCAAATAACAAAACACAGACTCACACTGATGTTTCATGACTTGTTTGTTTTTTAATCTTGTGGTGTCTTTTTAGTTTCACAGACACTGACTGTCGTAAATGCACACCAGGTGAAAAGATGTTGGTTCTGACACAAACTTCACCAATAAAAAACAAACAATAACTGCACCCTCACCTCTGGTGATATATTCCCACTCTTTAAACCATCAGTAGTCTTTGTCTTGCAGTGACAAAGACTTCTGTTGGTCTAAAGGGCAGTTACAAATAATTCAAGCTCCTTGTTCAAAAGGAACCATTTCACATTTTGGAAATCTTAGCTTATTGGCTCTCTTGGTGAGAGTTGGATGAGAAAATCAATACCACTCGTGTCCATAGAGTAAGTTTTAATCTACAGCCAGCAGCCTGTTTAGCTCAGCATAAAGGCTGGATAGAGCTACCCTGGGTCTGTCTATAGGGGGAAAAAATCCCCCTATAGGCACCCATAAAGGTCACTTAGAGGTGCTAGTAGGCCGACAGTCAGTGAGTCTACCTGTTTCCCCCCACTTCCAGTCTTTGTTTTATGCAAGGCTAAGCTAATCAGATAATCTCCTGCTGACTGTAGCTTCATATACAGCATACAAACAGGATAGTGGTATCAACAGAAAGCAAATAATCATATTTCCCAAAATGCTGAGCTATTCCTTTAGAGTTAATAGAACTAAACAGAGTAGAACTTTAATACCAATTTTAAGACTTTATAACCACACAAACTGACCCGCGTCCAGAACGTATTGGAGGCGTTGCGTCCACAGCCCTGGTAAAACTGCTGGCAGCAGCGGTCAGGAACCATGTTGTCATGCAGGGCAGTGTACCAGTCATTGTGGTTGTTGACTCCACAACATTGCCACTAGTGCACGGGCAGGAAAGAAGGAAAACAGTAATTTATATAACTGCATAACAAACACAATTTAACTCTGAGGTTATAAAATGCATTACAGGGTGATAATAAAGTTAAAGTTGGATTATAAAATGAAATGGCAAGAAATAACTTTAAAATATATACATATAAAACAAGCAGAGGACTTGTTTTGCTATCTTAAATTAAATTAAATTTTACATCCATATTTCTCTGTACTTTTTCAAGCCTTTAAAGGGACTTTCCTTTCATGTGTAATATACCTCTCCCTGTATGGTGTTCCATGCATCCCTCAGCCCGGCGTTGTTATCTGTGTTGTATAGCACCAACCCTTCTTTCAGGTCCTGTCTGGCATTTTCACTCACCTGGGCAAACAGGGGTAAAGAGGTGGATTATGGGATATATAGGCACACACTCACAGCAGGAGAGGACCATTAATAAGCGAGTCTTACCTTGTCAGTGTAGACAAAGAACAGGATGAGGAGGATAAGTTCGGCCAAGAGGATGATCAACAGAACAATGAAAAACTGAAGAAAATCGTTGGACAAAGAAGAAAAGTGTCAGATAAAGCTTCAACATGAGAGCGAACATGCATGATACACTAAACTCAAATTTGTGTCGATGCAAAACATTGTAAATATGAGCTCCCTGGTTAAAATTATACTTCATCTGAGCATTTAGAAGTAAATTGCGAAAATTAAACATGAAGTTTGGCAGTGGATCTTGACTTTTGTCTTATTACCAGTACAATAATACCTGTAGCAAAGTTTCACAATATAATGTTGCAATGTTTAAATGTCACACTCCTCCTAAGTCACGCTGCTCAAACATTAAAAATTCCAACACAACATGACTAAAGAATACTCAAACTAAAACTGATAAAATAAAAACAGTGATGGATGATGGGTAGTATACTCACACTCAGCAGCAGGCACTTGTTCTCTTTGATGGCTCCAAGGCAACCCAGGAAACCAGTCACCATGATGACGCTGCCGAGGGTGATGATGAGGTTGGCGGCGGAGATCGACGGGAAGGAGGGCGACAGGGTGGCAAAGCTGCCCTGAGACACCGACAGCCACACGCCGACGCCCAGCAATCCACACCCACCCAGCTGAAACACAAACAGGAAACTTAGAAACTTCCTGCTGATTAATTGATAACGAAACCCTTTAATGCGTTTGCTGATCTTCCTGCAGATTTACGGTCACAGCTAAAGAACATTTTCTCACTCAGTGTGTGTGGAATAATTACCCAGAAGATCAGGTTGAAGAGGAAGAGCATGTATTTAACGCAGCAGATGCAACCACGAGCCATGATTGAATCGACAGACACTGCAAGAAAACGATTTAAAGAGAAAACATGAAAAGACATTCAAGTTTAATGAAAGGTCTCTTACACTGGCCATATGTTTAAAGGGTAATTTCTGTATTTTTAAATCTAGGGGCTGGGTGATACAGCCAAAAATGTTGTCATGATAATAAATTTCACATTGTTTGATAATAATAATTATCACAATAAAAGGTCAAATCATTATTTCTTTCAGGTGTAAAGGCTGATTTTTGCTCCTGAGTAAAAGTTGAAGAAACAAAATGGTTAATACTGGTTTTAAACTTTTCTTTATGGTCAGAATATGACACTCCATAACAGTGGATGCCAAACAGTGAATCACTTCACAAATCTGAAGTAGAACATTCAAAACAATTATGATAAAATCTCTTTTCAACAAAAATGCACAAGAAAAATTAAGTAAAATCTTTTGCTGAACATGTGAGTAAGAGTTGGAGAGAGGAGTTTGCTGAGTAACGACAAGTCTTTCTAGTAGTTCCTCTATGTACACAAAAAACTCCTCTCCCACTCATGAACAACATGAGATATACTGTATACGCTGTATATACAGACATGTATACATGCATATACTGTACATAACCACTTCTTGTATTCATGTCAATATTTATTAATTTGCACTATTTTTATTGGTTTACAATTTACAGAAACACTTGACTTTGGATGTTGTTGGTCATTGTTGCTTTTTATATTCATTTATACAAGGATTTGTATGTACATATAAGTTGTTTGTTTATTTTTACCTTTGGCTTTGGTGACCTTTGTTTTTAGCTATATACCTTTTTCTATCTTCCTATAAATTGTTCTTTTCCCAACACTGTGTGCAACATTAAAACCAAGTCAAATTCCTTTTATGTGCACACATACTTGGCCAATAAAGCTGATTCTGAGTCTATTTTTGTCTTTAGTCAAACATCAGCATTGTGCAGAGATAAAACAATTAATGAAAGCTACATTGAAGGCTACAAATATGAACTGTTATGATATAAAATCATGTCACAATAACTGGCTAGAAGTTAGTTTTTTTTGTGAAAGTGAAAAGGCATAAATGAATGCTGCTTTTGCAACATCTTTCATTTATTTCAGGTTGTTTGTGTCACCATGACCACAAACAAAACACCAGTTCACTAATCTTTTTGTTTCCTGTTACATCACACTAACAGTAAACATTTTTGTTCTCCCTGGAGAGTCATGCTGAAAACCACATCTCAGCAAGAAGGAGATCAAACTTACCACTTCAACTAGCAGGGGAACGGAGGAGCTCTAGTGGTGTACCTGTGACACACAAGTGAAAAACATTTTAACTGTACTGTATATTGTACACAGACTATCTCTGAAAGTGGTGCTTTAGGCCTAAAAAACAAAACTCAACTTTTATTCACCATGATCATGCAAAACAGGACTGGGAAGTGATATTACCCACAAATGTGCAGAACATGCTTTAAATGTAAGCAGCCACGCACTGCACAATCTAATTTTAAGTTTCTTGATTCTGACAGTTATGTTGGTAAACGCAGAAGTGAGGTTATTTTTTAGTCAGAAATTAATCTAATGATTGTTTTTTTTTTGATTTAGTGATTAATTGTTTAGTTGAAAAATAGATAACCATGTCAGTCATTATTCTCCAGAGCTTGTTTTATCCAACACATACACGCAAACACATTTATTTTACAATTATTAAAACAGAGTAACTGCATCCTCTAGTCTATTTCTAAGTTTATTTTTTTAAATATATTTTTTTATATAATATATATTTATATTTTTTTACTTTGGATACTTTATCTAAATTAACTGTTTAGAATGTTTCTACATAAACATGTTATTTGAAAGCATTTGTTCTTTCTTGTTGTCAGTGTATTCGCAGAAGATGGTGTTTTGTAAAATAGCAGTGTTTTATCTTATGGGGGATGGGCCAGATGTTTGGCATGACACAGAAATAAAAAAATTAACTAACAAAAGAATAAAAACACAGGATTGAAATGTGCCATAATTCACAGGGAGGTATTTAAAATAAGAATTTACCTAAACAACAGAAGGCTTTTTGTTTATTTAAGTAAAAAAATCATTAAAGTATATAATAATAATAATAATCCTTATTTGTAGAGCACTTTTCAAAAACAAGTTACAAAGTGCTTTAACAAGTGTAAAGACAATAATACCCAAGAGACAATAATACAAAAAACAATACAATATACATACATTCAGAAGTAAAACAATATTTTCAATGATGATAAGTTAAGAAACACAAAATGCTCAACACATTTCTTAAAATACTCTGTGAAATCCAGCTGTTGTATGTGGGATTATAGTCATGTGCATAGCTGCCTTTTTCATGCCCCTAGATCTATGGTGGAAGAAGTATTCCGATTCTTTACCAAAGTAAAAGTACTAATTCCACATTGTGAAAATACTCCACTTCAAATAAAAAGGCTTGCTTTCACAACCTTACTTAAGTATGAAAGTATTATTATCTAAATGTACTTGGAGTATCAAAAGTAAAAGTAGTCCTTGTGCAGTAAATGGTCCCTGGCAGTGTTTTACTATTAGTGCCCTGTGAGAACCACATCTCTCCAACAGCCCTGTTTTCAGCTTTGTGAAGATGCATTATTCAGCTGATCTCCGGGGAGTTTTACATAGTTTATGTAACTTTAGTACTAGGATAATTTAAATAATAGGAAATATCAAATAGTAACTTCATCCTTCAGTTTACAGAAAAAAAATCACAATCACTAAATTTGGAAATCCATGGTTTACACTGAATTTAGTGAAGTAGAAGTAAAGTTGCATAAAATGGAAATACTCAAGTAAAGTACCTCAAATTTACAGTAAATACTTTATATTATAAAATACTTTATAGTAATTAGTTCCCCCACTGCATATAGTCTAGACTAGTCTAGGTGTTGCATTATTTTGTAAATTTAAACTATATACTATAGATTATAAATATAGTGCAGATAACTTTATTTTATTATCAGACAGGCTTTCTTTGTCTCGACGTGACGTCACTGGACTGAACTTCAGTTTGCGGTTTTAACAAAAGTTTTGCGTTGGAAAAGGACAAAATAAGCAGCGTCGTCGATAAATGCGTTAGTGATACACTTTCAATAACAAAACAAGTTGATGTTTGCGTACAGGCAACTAAATCACTCCACAGCGGCTCAGGTCGTGACTGTTTTCATGTCCATGCCGAGGAAACGAGAGGAGGAAAGGAAAACAGAGGGATAGTTTCCTACCGTCGGCTATGACCTGGAGTCCATCTTCCTAACGTCTCGAGTTTCAGCCGCGGAAACTTTCACATGCCAACTTTCTGCTGCTTTCCCTCAGAGCATCACCTGATATGAAGACATAAATCCGTCGGGTGTTAATTGTGCAGTGAAGTCGGCTTTGAACTGTCGTCGATGGCTGGAGAAGAAGAGGAGCAGGAGGGGGTTTCTTTAGAAAGGGCGGAGCTCAGCGGAGGACGGAGCCGGAGAGGAGGCGTGACCCTCGGCGCTGGAGAGAGGGGACCACCGGGCAACGACCCGGGCTGTGTGTCAATATGACCCATAAAAATAGGCCACATTTTTGTCTATTCTGGCTGATTAACAAGAATTTATAATGACACATCCACGTTAATCTACAACTGATTTTTACCTAGTGGCCAACTGTGGTACTGCAGCACAAATAGTCCTTGGTACAGAAGTGTCATCCAACGAAATGGGCCATTTCCAATTTGTACTAACAGCAAACTTATTTTTTTAACCTAACGTTAACAACTATGTTAAAACCTCCAAGAAAACATATTTTCCCACCTCAGTCTCGAAATACTTTTTATTCAGACATGGGCGCCATTCATGTACAAGTACACCCTTTGAGTAGTAATACAAGAAATAGATTTTAAAAATGTAATGTTTTCCTACTAGTGAAATGCCCTTTTTTGGAAACCATCAATAGAAAGTATGTAATAAAGCATACAGAATTCCAATAGACCCCTATTACAAAGGTCAGATCCCCAGACTCTGGGGGCCCAATAGCCTTAGGCTCACATGCATTTTAGTTGGTTTTAGTTGTTTAATTAATTACAAATTTGTTAGTGAATTTGCGCCACTGAAGTACAATATGAACTAAGGTCAGTGGTGGAGGAAATATTCAGATCCTTAAGTCAATACAACACTGTAGAAATACTCCATTACAAGTAAAAGTCCTGCATTTTAAAATTGAGCTCCACCTCAAGGAGCTAATTTTAAACTATTTGTTGGACTACAACTACTTATTATTTTGATTATGGATTGACTTGCAGTTTTTTTCTCTATTAATCAATTGATTCTTTGATTTGTAAAAAAATCTAAATAGTGAGAATGGTCACAATTACCCAGATCCCAAAGTGACACCTTCACGATGGTTGTTTTGTCCACCTAACAGTCCAAACCTCAAACTTGTTAAAAATAAATAAAAAATATTCAGCAAATCCTGTCATTTGGGAAGCTGGAACCATGAAATGTTTTTGCATTAAAAATGAGAAACGATAATCAAAATAGTTTCCAATTAATTTTCTGTCAGTCAATTAATTGATGATCATTTCAGCTCTACTTGTATAAACTGTTGGGTGGTTTAATTTATAACAAAGCACACTATTTTATACTTTCTTCCTATGTTTTTTATGTAAGAATGTATTTTAATGTAACTAGTAACTTATGCTGCCATATAATAATAGTGGAGTGAATAGTACAATATTTAGCAGAAGAAAAAAATCCAGCACAAATCCCTCAAATGTATATGGTTATAGCCGATTTTCACCAATATGCTTAACTGGCAATGACGGAGGGCATTGAAATCCGGTTAACAGGTTATTTTTCATACCTTTTCCTACTGTGACATGTCAACATGCCGTACCTGTCACACATGACTTATACTGTATATAAACATCAACACACAAATCCCAAAGTCAAATTGGACTTTAATAAAGGTTCATAATTATAACATTGATATAAATACATGACTCTGAACAAAATGAAACCCAAAACAAATAAATATACAAAACATACAAAAAAACATTAAAAGCATGTTTCTATTTCAGCTGCTGCCCTGGAGCCTCCATGGCATTAAAGCAGGAGTGTGTTTCCTGTGTTTTCTAGGGTTGAGAAGGAAAAGCCATTGTCCAGTTTTTGCTAGCGAGTGGCAACCGCTTCCAGTGAAAACATGGGTCTTTATTGTTGACTCCCCACAATGAAGGGAGGGGGTCAAAGGACACATAAGTAGGAGGGCAGTGACATGGCACTGACTGACTGTTCCTCCGATTTTTTAATTCTTCTCTCTCTCTCTCTCTCTCTCTCTTGTGTCTCTTTAACCCAGGACCCATCGATCAGACTGGGAGGAGTTTAGCTGAACAGACTCGCTCCTCTCCCCATCCTGATGCTGAAAAACACAGATATTAGAGATATTATTTAACAAATCTATTACTACACTACAAAACTTGAATGTTTAAAGTTGTGCCACTAAAGAAGTGTTGCCAGGTTGGTTGGTTTTCCACCCAATAGTTGGTCTGTGAGTCCACCACTTTGGTCCAGACTGAAATATTGCAACAACTATTGAATGGATTGGCGTGAAATATCATAAACATTTATGGTGCCCAGGGGATAAATCCTAATGACTTTGGTGATCTCCTGACTTTTCGTTTAGCGCCAAAATGCGGTTCACATTTCTGGTGTAAAGTGAAATGTCTCAATTACCGCTGGATGGAGTCCCCTTCAGGTTAATTTGTAAAAACTGTGATGATCCGCTGACTTTAAGCCACACCTCCCAACCAAATGGATGAAATTTGAAAAAATGTGTTTTATGTTTCCAATAAACTTGTTTCATGCATTTTCTACGATTAAGTTTTATTTTTTTTGATACCACTGCAACAACATGTCTTTTTCTTCCTAGATCAGTATCACTACAAAAACCAACAGCTTTAAGCTCTGAGACTTGGTGACTTGTTAAAACATAAGAAAGGAAAGGAGGATGACAACTGAATTGGCTAAAATCTGGGTGAATTTGAGTGAAAGTGAAGACGTGAAGTGAAGGACAGCATTATTGGAAAAGACGCATGCAGTCAAAAACATACCTTGTTAGCGATGGCTCGGAGTTTCCCCAGCAGGGAGGGTTTCTTGGTGTAAACCACATCGTCGTCAGGTTCCTCCCCTTCAGCCAGGGCACAGCTGTCTGCTGCTGGCAGCTCACACTCCTTGTTGGCAGACATCACCAGACGAGAGTACTTGTACTCCAGCCTGACCACAGACACACAGTCATCGTGAGACAACATATTATTTGGCATACGCATCATCCAGCGTGTAGGTGTTTGAAGGCAACAGTGTTTTAACTGGAAAAGCTGTTAGCTGATGTTTTATGATCATAGTGATTCTACCAGACATAAAGATAAATCTGAGGCGTTACACAAAAATTAAGGGGATAATGAAGAAAAAATTATTGTTTTAAATCTCACTTCTCACTTCTTTCCACTGTTTCATGATTTGTGAAAAACTTTCACTTATTCAGAGCTCTGAAATGCCTTCAAGTGACACAATCTAAGGAGAAAAAACATTTTGAGAAGAAATAACTATAAATAGACTTTGCTTCTTAAAGGTCACAATCAAAAGCCCAAGATTATATGACTAAAGTAAAAAACAACAAATAAAGTACAAACGGGACAATGTTCCTGATATTGTACTTGTGAATAAAAAGTGTGTGCTTCTTGAAAAAGTCTGTAAGTGACAAACAGCAGCTGACATCTCTTCCTTTAAATAACAATTCAAGGTGATCTTAATGAGTATGTTGGCCTTGGCTGAGATTGGTGGTAGTGTCTGATTGGCGGGTGCCTCTAACCTCTTGTTTTTCTTCCAGAAATAGCAGGTGAGAGAGATGAGCAGCACGGCCACGAAGGCTCCGCCACCGACCCCGACCTTCAGCCACAGAGCGATGGCCTCGCACGGAGAGGAGCTTCTAGGAGGCAACGATACACCTTTGGTGCACAACTTTGGCTCGTTCCACACATACAGAGTTTCCTGGAGAGAGTCGAGTGGGACAGATGGAGAATTTCAAGCAGAGATTTGGTTTCATAAATCAAGCGTGTGTATTATGTTTTATTTCTGAGGTTTGTAGGTCTGAAGGGGAAGCACTAGGAAGATCTTACAAGATTAAAGTACCATTTGGGTTTAGGATTAAGATTCAGTGTTAATTTGGCATCAGATTAGTTTTAGTCCTGACAAATATCACTCTTAATTTAGTTTTAAATATGAAAATACAACTTATTAACACAAGCTGACTAACCACATTTCGGCACAGGGCCTTCATGAATGTGATTTACTAATTTCATCTAGTTTTGCTCAATGAAACAACAATTTACTTGAAATAAATAATAATTCTTATGCAGTTTAGTCTCATTTCAATCATGCAGTTTTGATTATTAAATTAAATCTTTAGAGTGCTTTCATGAAGCACACACAGGGCTTTTGTTGTGATTTCATCAGAGGGAGTTATAATAATAGTCTAACCTGAGGGTTTGATGGCTGTTTATTGAATCTGAATCTATCTGCACATTGAACCAGAACCAGAAACCATAATCCTTTATCAAAACCCTTATCAAATCTGTTCAGGCTATTCCTTAAATAATTTATATACTGTAATTATATATTTGCTATTTAGCCAAAGTGAGTTCCTGGATGGTTTACACATTGTGCTTTAATAATATAAATGAGCATGGAGATTTGACAAAGACTTGAAATTCCATAGACTTTTATTTTCAGACAGCATCAGAGATGTGATGTGTGTGTGTTACCTGGATGCCTCTTTTGCACGCTCCCTCTATCTGGTGGTAGTCGTCCTCGGCGCAGCGCGGACAGGCACTGGCGCTCTCCCACAGGAAGTGAAACGTACATCCATCACATGTTCCTGCAGGACACGAGCTGCACAAACACACACAGATAACACATTTTCTTACATAATCTATTTTCTTATGTTTCTGGTATGGCATATAGTATTTTCCTCTTTCATACAATGCATTTTAATATCAAACATTCTTTGTCACATTATATTGTACTTAGGGTTAAGGTCCAAGCCTGTATAGGTGCGAAACCCAGTTATATTTTCATTTTTATTATATAATTAGTGTCATGTTCACACTAAACAAAGCAACTCTTACAGTACATGTTTGTAAAAAAATAAAACAACATTTTTGGTAGAAATTAAAACTCAGAGCACATTATCACCTACCTGGGCACAGAGAGTTCTCCTCGTTCAGACTTCTCGGGGTTACAGCGAACAGTGATGACTGAGCTGCGACCCTGATCACATGAGGCCGTTGCCTGCGTTGACCTGAAAGAAAACAAGGACACAGTTAAGACAACCAAAACATTACAACACACGCTCTGCCTCTGTCTGTCACACTGTACCTGTAGAAAAAGTTGATGTCTGGTACATCCTTTGAATTTTCAGGAAAAAGATCTGGTTTAGCGTTCACGCCATCCAGGACGGTATCTACTGTTGCTCCTGAAAAGAGACATCAAAGATATCAAAGCCAACATTACCAGCTAATGATCAGAGAGCTACATACTGCCATTTAACCCGAGTCACACCGATGAAAGTGTCTGCAAGGCTGATGGACTGTGAGGAAATGGCCATCCTGAAGCCCCGCCCATCTGCTGGGATGATGGTTGATTGACAGATGAAGCTGTCGACTGAGTTGACAAACTGAGCCATGTCGCTTTGGTCGTCCACGCTGGACACGTCGGTGACGTTATCTGTACAGATAGCAGCTCTCTTCCCCTTTAGCAAGACACGTACAACAGCATAATAATTATCTCTCAGTTGGTATGGTTACGCTTGATGTTTACCTGCAGCTTTTTTAACATACCTACATGTGAAAAAATGTGATTAATTTTCACATTGTGGATAAATCTTCAAAACAAGATGTGTAAATTTAAAACAGCTTGTATTGTCTGGTGGAAATACAATAACAATACACAATGTTTGTAAAGAGCTATTGAAGGAAAGTTAGTTAATGCTGAGAAAAATGTAAATAAATCAACATACAAGAGGCTCAAAACTCATTTCCATTCAAAATATAATATAACCAAGATAAATAATACATCCAACATTAAAAATCACCCCTCGTTCACCATACGTTTAATGGTTTAGGGGTTTAAAATTTAGTGTTGCTTTCATACAATACACCTAACAATGAGTACACAAACTAAAATTAAAATCACCAGTTAAAGGAGTTTAAAATTAGCACAAGATCTGAAGGATATTTTTTTTTATAAAGAATGAGAGTGATACCAAAAAGGATACTAACAGATCCATAAAACTGTACTGACACAGTAACTAATACATGACGACTTCAGGTATGTGTGAATTACCTCGTGTCCACACAGGCTAATGTTGAACAGGTGAAGGTACTTTGTGCCTTTAGAGGTGAAACTCGGCCCGATGGTCATCGAGGCCACATCACTCAGGGGGCTGAGGTCAAAGGTCAGCGTACGGTTGTTCTCTGTGTGGGAGAAGAAGCAGTCGCTGTAGCACCGAGAGTGTTCCTGAAAGAAAAGCAAATACATGAACTCTCAACATGTAACATATTAGATGGACTATGTACAACTATATTATAATTAATGATAAATACAATAATAAATGTTATGTAGTTGTTAAATTATTGATTTGCAATATCACATATTTAGAGCAAGAATGTATTAAATAAACACCTCTGGAGCAACTAGAGGTTAAGTGTCTTGCTCAGGGACACATTGGTGGATGTGTTGCAGTGGGGGTTCTCAGTTAACAGCGTTTTTTGTTCCTAGAAACATCTTTCATGTCCTCTGTAATAATTGTCTAAACACTACAGAGGATTAGCACTTCAAACCGGATTTTTATAAACCTTATCTGGCCCCTGATACCACATTTTAATCCCAAAATATTTATACCCTGAGCAAAGGGGCATGGAGAAAGCTCCAAATGGTTCATACAGAAATTTCAATACAAAAAGAAAGAAAGAAACAAAGCTAATATATTGACATAAGTAGTCTTTTGTGGCCCCTCGAGGACTCAAGGTTGAGAAACTGTAGCTTAAAGATCACCACTTATTGATAAAAACCCAGAGTAGGACTGGGTATCAAACATCAATCCTTTTTGGTATCAACCAAAACATCAGATTCGTAATTTGCTTACTTATACTTGGATCAAATACTTCCTGATTTAAATTAAAATGTTGCTAATTTTAGACTTTATTTTGGGAGGCATTTTTTTTGTGTGGCTCTATTTAGTAAAAAAAACATTTATATTATAGCACTGTGGTAGTGTTTTGGTATCGGTACCAAACCTCGTGTATCATATTAGTACTAGTATCAAAAAATCAAATGATACCCTGTCCTAAGCCAGAGGAGGTTACTCTACCTTATTGCTTACACTTCCAGGACCACAGGCGACACACGCGTCCTGGCCGTAGGTGTGGCGCCCTGCCAGGTGTGTGTTGGGCGGGCACTCCTGGCACCGGTTGGTGTCTCTGTCGATGTAAAAACCAGCAGGGCAGGGAACACAGGAGGAGCTGGCCCGCTGGGAGTTCTGGGGTACCAGAGCGCAGGCCCGACATGCTGATGCCACCCCATCCAGGACGTTAGTCACGCTGATGGAGTACAGCTTCACCATGTCACTGACATAACGACGCATCTACAAACACATACAGGGCAAGCAGAGACACATACGTTAAGGTATAAATATTCTTGATATTTACTGAAAGTGAATTTATTGACACATTTTTCACTTCCTCGAACTAGTAGTAATGCTAGTGATGATTTGCCACATTCATTCTTCAAAAGCTCAATAAATAAATAAACATCCTATTAAATGCACAAAATACATTTAATATGTATGCCTTAATTAAATTATACAATGATACATAAATTGGTATACCTCTTTTAATTTGATTCTTTATTTATTCACATTTGTATTAATTACCTTATTTATTGTCATTTATAATTTTATTTATGAATTAACTTTTATAAGTGTATTCATTTCTGTTTGTTTATTTAATTTATTTATGCCTACAATTTTTTATGTATTTTTGGTGCATTTGTGCATTTTATTTTAAATTTCTGTACTCATTTTCGATTGTGACATAAGAAGCTATCTTGTGCGCACAAGATACTATTTTGTACACATGAGAAAGTATGTGATGCTCAGGACATATTAATACTGAGAATGATGTGCACAGGCATTGAATAATGGGGAATAAGGTACTTTGTATGTTACTTACGTCCAGAGCATGGTTAGTCCTCTGGAAAGCCCATGTATACGTGACAGAGGCGTTCCTGGTCATGCTGTGCGAGTACGACTGTTTCCCCTTACTGCCTTCCCAGGACTCCACCACTGTGGTGCTCTTTCTGTTCACATCCTGAAGAGGGCGTCACAGTAAAACAGTTAGATGGGAAAATATGTGTTTGATTACTGACCAGTAATATGCAGAATACGGTAATAAGTGGCACCACAGTGAGACAAGTAACTGTTCTGGCTTGCTGGTAAAGTTAGTCACATTTTTACTACCTTCTGTTACATTAACACACACAAACAAGCACACACCATCATGAAGTAGAGCTCACAATCAGCAGAGCAGATGGTCTCAAACACAAAGCTTATCTGGCCAAACTCACTACCGGTCATCCCTGAAAGTGAGGCTGGGACCCTGCCACAAAAACACAAACATGGGCAGAGATTTAGTTTTAACTTGATCCTACAAACATCTCGTTCACAAAAAATATGTTTATTATCTGAATCTTTCAAGACGAGATGATAAGATCGCTTTATTTAATCCTTCTGTGGTGACCAAACTTGGATAGATACACCAAAATCTCACACAGAAAACAACCACATGTCCCTACACAGCTACTTACTTGAAGCCAGGCACATGCAGGCTGAGGATGAGATAGTCATTGTCTGAACTACCTGCTCCACTGCGAATGTGGTCCCCTGCAACCTCCCAGCCTGATGAACAACAGACATGATGCACTCACATTACACCTCATTAATTCTGGATTACAGATCAGTGCATGTTATTTTATTACAATATCCAGAATTGGCTTGGATGGAAGCGGATGGATCGGGCAACAAGTGCTTTTACTGCTTTTACTGTCAGTGGAGATTTCAGCATCATTTATATAGTATTGAGCAAAACAATGTCACCACTAATCTATTGTACATTTATTTGCTGTTCTGGAGCTTTCAGTCATATCACATCTTCATCACCAGATGGAGGTTTGGTGGTGTGGTGGTTTAGAGGTTTGAGAGGTCCTTAAATGTCTCAGACAACAAGAACATTTGAGTATCTACGTTTCCTTGAGTGGGTAAAATCCATTTACTGATGAAGGTGTGATATGATTGAAAGCTCCAGAAAATATTCCTATTTCCAAGGGCAATAATTAACTTTGACCACATGGTGAGTACATTTTAGATAATTAGTAATTAGACATTACTTACTCAGTTGGGCGTTGTTAGTTAGTAGGAATAAGTAGGTAATTAATAGGTAGTCAATTACATAGTTAGTTAGAAGATACCAGTTAACAGTCATAAGGTAGTTAGTAGTAAATAAGTAATTTAGTAGTTAGTTTAAGTTAATAGATAATTAATATGTAGTTTAGAGTTAGTTAGTTGTTAATAGTTTGTTAGTTAGAACTTAGATAGAAGGTAAGTAATTAGTTACTTATAATGTAGATAAGGTAATTAGTTGTTATTAATTAGCACGTAGAGTAGATAGTGGGTAGTTAGTTAGAACAAGACAATTGAGTATAGACATAATAAACAATAGATGAAAAACATAGCTTTAAAATGCATAGGTGCAGTAAATCATGTTTAATCTGTAGATCCCTTATATCTGCAGTATATATCCTGTCCCCTAAAATGCTCAAATACAGAACATTTTGGCACTGGATAAGTACCTCCAGCTTTCAGCACTGTTACACCCTCCACTGACCAAGAAACACGTCAGGGTCAGGTAGGTATATTGTATGCATGTACACAGTATGTATGGATATACATGGAGGTTTTTAAATGTGTTTCTCCAGGTGGATATACTGTATGGATAGACACAATGTTCTTCGTTGGGGACAATAAAGTCTGTCATATTTCACAAATTTGATGCTAATTGGACTGTAAATTATTTTGTGAGGAGAGAATATTTCCGTCGTTACTCAGTAATACAGGTGTTGTTGTGCTCACCATTCATGTCGTCACATTTGGAGTTGCCCACGTTGAAACAGGAAGTCTTCATATTGGAAGGCAACACATTCCACCATTTATACTGGTAACCTAACACTGGCTCTGTACCTGCAGGGCACTCAGTGCACTCTGGTACAGACACACACACACCCACACCCAGAAAAGCTTAATTTAGATACAACAATGACATTTTTCTCTTTGGTAAAACATTATGTTTGTACAAGCACCATCCATTCAGGAGTGCATTAAAAAAGGGTCGCCTCTTTTAAACAAATTTCATTCAGACAGCGCAGATCATGTGCCCAGATGGAAAGGCTTTATTACTACTATTAATTCAATTGATACAGTACATACAGTATTTGCTATATATATATATTTATATATATAAATAATTAAAAAAACTGATATTGAGGCATCCGTCTCCTATATGTGAATGTGTAGAACTGTGTGAGCATGAAGCAATGGTACAGACTGTTTGGTTGACTTTCCCTATATAAATACAGATTAAGGCTTGGTACCAATACATGCCAGGTGTGGACAGGTGCGTGCAGGTTTACCGTAGGTGCCGTCTGAGTGGGTTCCAGGTGGGCAGGGTAAACAGGTGGAGTCAATGCTGTTGTAGTAGCCGGGGTTGCACGGAGGGCATGGCTCTCTCTGCCCAGTTGCAGGCAGCTCCACGGCCCCTGTGACGTTCTCCACACAGATTTTTGGCTCCACCCAACGATATAACACTTGCGTCTGTAACGAAAAAGCCATAGAGCTTATGATCAGGGGTGGAGAGTGGTCTGTAAGTGTTTTACTCTAATAGAGGGGGAAAAAAATAAATGTACAGTACCTGGAGTAATAGAGATTGAGACACATAAAAATGGACAATAAAGCTTCAAAGATTCAAAAGCAAACCACACCATCAATAATAGAGGGATGTGTTTCTTTTCTGTTCTTTAACAATCATCACTCTTACTCAGCACACTCAGAGATGTAAATTAAAACAGGCCAAGGTCATGGATTAGTGCCAAGAAAATGTATTTAGGATCAGATGGCGTGCCAACCGCTTACTAAGCTATTCATCATTTTCTTTCTCATCATATTGTGTGACTTGTCTTGTTTCTAACACAATGCCCTGAGAGAGACGACAAAATGTCTGTTTATAATAAATTTAAATGTAATGTAGTAAAAAAGGCAGCTTTGTCGTGCTGTAAGAATAAGAAGTCGGTAAAGGATAAATTAAAACAACATAATTTATTATATATTATTTTATTAAAACTATTAGACCAAATGAAAGATAAACAGGAATTTTCATGCTGATCATGTATTAAATATAAAACCAATCATGGGTGTTAGTGGTTGTCTTGTATTTATGTAGTCAATGTTCCAAATTGCCTAATTTCATTTGGATTATTTTGCATTAATTGGGTATATTAACATAGAAATTCAAACTAAAAACTATTAATTGTCACCTAATATTTCACAACTTACGAAATACAAACTTAAAACGCTCTGTTAAATTGTCTTTGTAGGTTTACCTAAACTTGTAAGTACGTGTGTCTGTCCTTGCATAGTAAAAAGGTCAGGATGTATGTGAAATGTGAAATGTGTGGATGCTGCTGACCTTTCCTTCGCTGTCGCAGGCTGTGTGGATCTGGAAGTAATCCTTCTCTGAGCATGGCGGCCTCGCCTTACATTCAGCCCATCCCTCATCTGAGAGAGGAGCCGAAAACAGAGGAGAAGGAGACGTGATGATCCGGCTCACAGGGATGCATAGAAAACATGCGCAACCAGAGTGTGATGCAGGGTAAATCCCATTTACTAGCCTTTTACTCTACAGAAGAAAATGAAGCTTCACAACTCTTTTTGATTTTTTCTCAACTTTAACATTTCATACAGCAATACCAGCAGAACAATGAACTTATCAAAGATGTAATGCTCCGTACTTGTATAGCGCCTTTCTAGTCTTTTCGACCACTCAAAGCGCTTTTACACTACATCATGTAGATGTATGGGTATCATCATGTATGTGTTGGCAGATATGCACATACAAATTTCAGAATGTAAAGGTGTTATCTTTTAATTCATTCGTTATTAGTTTTTACTCATTTACAATGAGTTCATTTCCAGTTAAATTTACTGTACTACTTTTCCTATCATGTTATATTTACGTGTTACAGTTGTAAATATAATTTAGTTATTATTTTTTAATTCTTCCTTTAAGGTTACTTTTATATTCTTTGTTCTATTTTATTGATTAAATATATTCTAATTTAAAATATTTCAATATTTGACTCTACATTTTCAGTGGGTGTAGCATCGGGGGGAACTACATCTGTATTTCAATGTGCAATCCTGTACTGTATAATGACAATAAATCTGAACCTTGACCTTTACTTAATGTAATAATTTCATAGTAAACACCATTATTCAATTATTAAACAACCTCCCATGATACATATATTTCTCACAAACCTTTAATAAGCAAATTTGATAGCTTATATAAAATGTGATAAGTGAGTCTTTTTGTGATATTTCTTACTTTCAAATGTTAGCATGATATTGGCCTTACAAAGACCAAATCACACAAGCTTTATTAAGTTACCTAGTCACTAGGTAATTCCATAATTTTCTTTATAATTTCTCACTGGATGTAATTTAGCCAAGAACAGAATCACAGCTCATAAGAGTGCACTTCTTGTGACAACTAGTTTGAGGGTTTAATGACACATACTGTAGTTGCATGCTGTTGTATGTGTACATACGTGAGTAGTGGTGTTCAGGGCAGCGTGTACAGGAGGACGCGTCCTTTATGGAGAAGGTGTTGCTGGGACAGGGCTGACAGGATGAGGAGCCGGGGTCTGAACTGAACCAGCCGGGCCGGCATGGAAAACACTCTGATGTGTAGGCTACACCTGTGTTGACATGCAGCACAACACGCGGCCCTCCAATTATTACATGCATCACAAATGTAAAAACAGTAAGTTCATAAATGCTTTGTTGTGTGCTTGAGTTCTGCTTTACCCTCTATTTGGATGTTCTTGAGCAGCACAGGTTTGACCATCTTTCCTCCTCCCACCAGGATACCAGTTGTTCTCCAATACAGGATGTTCGTACCTGACTTCAGATTCACCTAAAAACAAAAAAGAACAAGGTGAAGAATGCACAAATAAAAAAATAAGAATAAAACAAAGCACAATAATGTCCCTGCTGACACAAGCTGAATCAGATACTCACTGTGTGTGTGTCCCATTCTCCATTTTTAGTGACTTTAATCCACTTCTGGTCATCAGTCTGGGCCATTTCCTGACACTGCTCGTTCTGGACCTGAACATATGTTGACATGGAATCTATTATCCACACAAAACTGTTTTCTAAAGAACAGCTGCTGCTCTTTACTCTTACTTAACCTCCATTAAAAATAAAACACAGGCTGTTTCCTTTTGTTTCTTTATACTAACTGACTGTAGCTTCATAGTTAGCTTACAGACATGAAGAGTGGTATCAGCATACTTCCCAAAGTTATTAATTATTTATTTAATTTATTTTTTCTTTTAAGATAAAAAGCTTCTGAAATAGCATTTAGACAATCAATGCATCCTAAAACCCAAACTAAATTAAATAACTTAGCCTGGGCAGTATAATAAAGCAGATTTATGCTGATTACATTGACTGTTAAGGAAAATCCAGGATGATTTCTGTGTCGTAAAAGGGGAAAAAAATGTATTTATGAACTAAGAAGGAACACTAGATGAAGCTAATAGTAATGTAATATTTTGGCAAATTAATATATCAGAATATATTATATTGTAGGAAGCAGTTAGTTAGTTATGCTTACATAAAACTCAAAGAAAATGTTGTTGTCAGGGTACTGGTAGGTGAAGGAGACGGAGCCCTGTTTCTCCAGATGGACGGCGTAAACCAAAGACACTGTGCACTCATCGCGATTCGACTCCAGATACACACCCTGTGGCGACCATGTTGAGCTGCAGCAAAGCACAACAACATACTCAAAAACAAACCAAAACAGCAAAAACTGTATTTTTAGTTGTATACTCAATTTAATACATTCAGTATTTACTTAACTCTATGTGTATGTGTCTAACCTGTGGGATTGGTAGTGTTTGTGAGTGTCTGTGTCACCTGTTACAGGCCTGAATGTCCTCCCCATTTGGGCCGGGGTCCATGAAGCTGGCCACACTGGTGAAACCTGCAGGGATGGCGTCCCATTGGTCAAAACGGAGGCCACTGCCCAGCGAATAGGAGCCGGCCGCACAGGGTGTGCACTGCTGTGTGGTCATCTCTAGAAACATCCCAGCTGGACAGGAGAAAGCTGAGGACAAGGAGGGTCATATTGACATGTCAATACACACACAGCTATGAAAACACAAACACACGCACGCACACACTGGCAGTACTTACAACAGTCTGTTCCTCTGGTCGGAGGTGGAAGATCTGAGCAGGAGCCTGGATTGAGAGGGATGGCAACCCTCCATCGTGACCCTGTGCTGTCACACTCTGTGTACTGGTAGTAGTAGTCTGTCTGCAGAACAGACATACAGATACATACAAAGATCAATACACCATCCACATTTGTGTGTTTTTAGCCACAATCAGTTGGTGGGTCCACCACTGGGGTCCAGACAGAAATATCTCAGCAACTATTTGATGAATTAGCATTAAAGTTTGTACAGATATTCATAGTCCCCACAGGATAAAGTCCAATGATTTTTTATAATGCCTGTAATCTTCTTCTAGTACCACCATGAGGTCAACATTTGTAGTTTTGAGTGAAATGTCTCATCAACTATTGGATGGACTGCCGTGAAATTTGGCACAAACATTCATGTTTCTTCAGGATGAATTATAATAACTGTTGTAATCCCCTGACCTTTCATCTAGTGCCATGATCAGATTTGTAAATTGACCTGCAAATTGACCTGCAAATCTAATGCAAAAATCCCCTGAGAGTCCAATTTTTCAATGCCCCCTTCCCCCCAACTCCACAACAAAATTCCATAATCATTGATCATTATTATGGAATTGGCCTTTCACCTATAAATGCTTAAAAATTGTGAATTTTAACTTTTTAAACAAAATTCCTCGGGTGTGAGGAGTGATGACCCTGACCCCTGCGGTGGGTGATGTCACAGAAGGCCGACTCATAAAATGCACTTCACTCATACCGACTCTCACTTCAAATTAAACTGAAAAGTTGGCAGCAGCCCAATGGCATGTTAGCATGCTTATATTAGTAAAGTACAGCCTCACAGAGCTGTTAACAAAGCTGTAGACTCTTTAGTCTTTATATCCATAATTATTACTGTTTATCAAACCTTCACCTACTACAAATACAGACATATGTGCAGACAAAACAACACCCTCATAGTGACTCCAACTTTTTTTCAGCACTGGACACGTGACTTTCTGCAAGCATGAAGCGGATTTCATAAGAAAACAAGAGCTTGTCATACAAAAGGGAACATTTGAGGGGTGGGATGGCTTCCAGGCCAAAAGTCGTGGCTGACCCTGATCACTGTGGCAACCAACCGCTGGAACACTAATGGTCCATTAAGAGCATGACAGCAGGTCATCTGTACAGTCGCTTCTTTCCAAGGGCTGCTGCTTGTGACATTATGCTCATCATTTGAAATGATTGAACTTTCATTTAGAAGACCATTTTATCCAAAACAACTTATTATTAGTGTTTTCAAGAAACCTGCCATGCATGCACAATTAATGTTAAAAGCCTCATGTCCTCATCCAGAGACGACAACTAAGAGTGTGTTCAGTGCTGAGTTTAAAAAACAAACAAATAAAGCAAATGCGTGGCAGATTATAGACTTTCTGGTTTACACATATTTTATGCCTCCCCGCCCCAACTGCCTTTGAACATGTTTGCTTGTTTTTTATTTCTGTTTGTCTGTTATATTTTAATATCAAATCATCTAATTTTTTTTTTTTACTTTGGTTTTATTGCATTTTTATTCAAAGCAATTCATTTTTGAAAAATCCTCACTTGAATAAAAGTGAAAAGCACACTGTTTCGCTTACAGCTTGTTTATTTCCTATTTATTTAATACAATATTTTGGTCATAAATACATACATACAACCTTCATCAGTTATATCATTTAGACCAAAACATTGTCTTAAATAAATATCACATAAACCAGTGGTAAATAAGAAAATGTGCAGCAGTTTTTCACTTTTATTCACGTTTTGCAGTCCTCTGACGCATCTGTCACACACTCAGATGCGCAAAGATGTGTTATAATTCTGAGTAAAATGCTCACTAAATACAATTTATTATTTAATAATAAATAGATCAACATTTCGGAAAATGATTTCATTTGCTATCTCGCTGAGAGTTAGATGAGAAGATTGATACCAATCACATATCTGCACTTTAAATATGATGCTACTTCCAGCTGCCGGCTAGCTTAGCCTAGCATAAAGACAGGAAACAGTGAGAAATTATTATTGCTATTTATTATTATATTTTAGACAATAGTGGTATTTAGGACAAGCAGATTAAATATTGATATTCAATGTCTGTTTTCTATTTCATGCAATTTAAAAATTATTGCTGAATTAAGGCAGAATGACCCGTAATTAGGGCTTGTTTTTATGCTTTTAATGTAACTTCCTTTGAGTCCACAGTGTCCATCTCCTCCCCCGAACCTGCTGTTCAACTGGGCAGACAAGATAGCAGAGCGCACAGGCAGCTGGCTGCAGCAAAACACTGACATCTAACAAGCAACAATCTAAGTAATACCAGCTAATTTAACAGGAACAACCGCAGAAATGACTTGTGATGTGTGTACAGGGAAATTAATCAGACAGAGAGATTTTGCAGATGCAGGGTGTGATGTCTGTGTATTTGTGTCAAGTCAAGTCAAGTCAGGATTAGATTAAGTATAAAACAACATTTTACAAAATGCAGAGACACATACAAAATTTGCAGAGTTGGATATAAAAAAGTAAAAAAACACATGAGATGGCACTCAGATACAGCAAAGTGAATTAAACAAACAATGATAAAACAACAAGATAATCAATGATTATAAGATTTATAAGAAATCATAAAAGTACCATAGCCCTAACTAAGAGGTTTATCACAGAGTGAAGAAACCATTCCCAACTAAAAGCTTTGTGTATTGTGTCTTTTAAATGGCTAATCACCTCTCTGCAACAACAAAAACTGGCCATTCATGCTGCTTCCGCGCTAAATTGTGGCTTTACGTGGGAGCGAGAGGCCGACCACATCGTTAGCGTGTAGCACGGCAGCCTGCACTACAATTCACCTGTTGTCTCTTCCTGTTTAAACGGTCAAACAAAAGAGGGCTGCGCTAATATGTTGACAAAAGGTGAGACTGATAAAAAAGGACACGGGCTGATGTGTTTCACTGCTCTCCCGGGTGACTCACGGTGGTTGTCATGGAGACTGATGAGAAGAAAAGGGCGGGGGGATAAAATTCAGCGCCATGAGAAGCCTGTCAGGAGATCGTAGGACTGGAGATTTCAGGATTTGTGTACACAACAGGAAAGATGGACATTAATCCTTACAGATACTGAACCTGCATTTACACCCTCACTGTACAGGTAGAAAACTTTGACCACATTTATCTAGTGTCTTTTACACTGTGCATGTAACATAACGGCTTATTGTTTAACTGTGTAGAACATAACCATTCTACTGTACATACTAGTAATTGGTCTCTAGTCATTACATTTTCTATATTATTCATTTTGTAGGCTATATATCACAGTTACACCCGTCTTACTGTCACTACTGCACTGGTCTTTTGTTCATTATGTACATTTATTTATTTTTATATATCTCTATATGCACTTTTGCTATCTGATTAGATGCTAAACTGTATTTTGTTTGTTTGGTAGTTACTTCCCGTAATTGAATCTTAAACTGAATGTGTACAGGGCCGCGGGGGGACTGGAACCAATCCCAGTCGACATCAGGCAAAAGGCGGGGTACACCCTGTACAGGTCGCCAGTCCATCGCAGGACCACCCCTATACAAAAAACCACTCACACTCACCTAAGGACAATTTAGAGTCACCAGTTAACATAGCCTGCAAATTTTTCCCAAATATGGAACATTTCGAGACAGGTGGAGACTGTCTCACCTTGTCTGTCCGCTCATGTGTTCATCTGTAATCAATCTATCCAACCTGAGGGCTAAGCCAACCTCCTGTTATAACTTATTATTTATAATAATATAATTAATTATTTATAGGCAACTATAGCCTGTAACTTTCGGCAAGATAGTTTCTTCCTCCTACTTTTTACATAAATTGCAGTAAAATGTGGATGTTAATTTCAAATTTGACAAAACAGTTGAGGTTTGTTTGTGTTTTGCTGTCATAGCTCAGAGGAGAGGAAAGAGAGCCGAGAGAGGAGCCATGCTGGCCCAGCTTGGACTTAATTCTGCTCCTAAAGAGCCGGTCTGGACAAAATATTGATCAGACAATGGAATTCAGAGACATCTGAACACATCGTTACAGAGACCTACCCCATTAACATCCCGGATCATGCACTCGGCAGGTGGTCCATGTTCCGAGCTATCATTGCAAGACTCTGGCAAGATTAAAGGAAGTGGACTCTGTGTTTTACATTGATGATGCTTGGTGCTGAAATGCAGTCAAGATGGACTCTGTTTCCCAAATTTTAGACTGTTTATTGTGAAGATGAAACTTTCATATTATCATCTGGTTGCTGCTGTTTACATTCAACCCAGATGCGAATTCAAAAACTGCACTGTGGAATGTTCAGGGTGTATACGTGTCTGTATAAATAACTCTATATATTGTTTTATTTTATTTTATATGTTATCATCTTTTAATATAGGCCTTCACTTAATAATATGTTGTTTGTGTAGCATGAAAGAACAACAAATTGAGTTTCGTTATGCAGCCTTGTGCTGTATAATGATGTGTAAATGGGATGTGCAGGACCGGAGGGCTCTGCAGCGGGTGATTAAAACTGCACAGAACATCATTGGTACCCCTCTCCCGAGCATTAGTGATATCGGTGAGGTGCCTACGCAGAGCCCAAAGGATACTAAAGGACAGCACCCACCACAGCCACAGCCTGTTCACCCTGCTGCCTTCTGGGAAGAGAAATAGTTTCTGCTGCCACACCACCAGACTGCTGAGCAGCTTTTACCCCCAAGCTGTCAGACTATTAAACTCTAATTCATCCTCAGCACTGCTCCACTGATCATTGAATATTGTTTATTTCGGTTTACCATTTTAATTATTGCTTCTGGATTAATGTATATTATCTGCTATGTAGCCTAGCAGAGGGGAGTTACAAAACACAATTTTATTAAATAACCTGTTATATTGTGACAATAAATGTACCTACCTACCAATAATGACAAATAAACAACATTGTACCTTGTTTTGTTTTAACATAGGTGATAAGATAAGCTAAAATTGCTCTGGTAGGATAACAAAAACCCTGACAGCACTGCCCGGTTCCCTCTCCTCCTCCGCGGGTAATCCTGGCCAGGCTGGCCGGCAGGAGGCTGTTCAGAGGAGGGATGGAGGCCAGCACACAGCGTCATCTCGTTTGTAGCGTGTTTATGGTCAACATGAACCGTATTTTAAGCCGATCAGCCGAGTGCAGAGGACCGTGTGTTGAGCCAATATAATCTAGTAGTAGGCTAATAGTGTTTTTTATTATTATTGTGCATTATTACACGCTTTTTAAATCTAATCTGGTTGTTAAATTCTGCATGCATGGCCATTTTCTTGATTTGATTAACTTACCGCATTAAAATAGGAGATAAATGTAATTTCTAGATGAAAATAATGATTTAAAAAACGAACTATTAAGACAGTGATTTTGGTATCTTCAAAAAGCAACATTTAGGCTACAATCCACGTGGTTCAGGATAGTAGGCTAATAAAAATAATAATAGTAGCCTAAAGCGTACTCACCTCATCGCACGGCCGCAGGTCTCTGTCTGCGGACACGGATGATGTGTGAGCGGTGATTATGAGTAAAAGGCAGCGGAGAAACCAGGAGGCCCACACCTGCTCCCGCATCCTCAGCTCGGATCACACACCACTTCCTATAGTCAGAAACATGAAACAGGCCGAGCGGTGAGTGTTTGTGTGGTGGTGTCCCTGTCATTGATGTCTCCTGCCCGCCTGTCTCTCACTCACCCTCTACACACAACCACTGTCAAGACAGGTAGTGTAAAGACAACACTTCCGGTCCCGGATTTCAAATTTATATTGCCCTGGCATAGAATACAGACTTTATTCCTATTATTATCTTATATTTTATGATAATTTCCGACTGTGGGCATCTTTATTTTGTATTCTGCTGGCATTGGCAGGTGTAATTATTGTTTAAGTAAAGGTGTTAGGCTGCACTCTTCTCAGTCCTCTTAATTTATGATTACACTAAGAATTTTAATGTTTTGTGTTGCTCACAACTAATATATTGAACAGGTTACAGGTAATTTCTGAAAGAATTAGCTGATTAATCAAATAATTGACCGACCAAAACTTCATGGGCAACTATTTTGATAATGAATTTATTGTTTCAAATAAAAAAAGCAAACATTTGCTGATCCCAGCTTAACTTTTTTTTTTAATTTTGATGCTTTTCTTTGGCTGACTGTTGGGCAGATAATACAAGTAATTTGAATAACACCATGGGCTCTGGGAAATGAATTAAAGATCCATCAATTAATTGATCAAACAAGGGAATAATCCTGATCATAATTAATAATGAAAATAATCGCTAATTGATGTATTGTATTGATGTATTGTACCAGATGTAGCTTAAAGCTCAATTTAATCTGCATCTACATAAATAATCACATTTATAGTACATAAACTAAGAATATATTGTTTGCCCTAGTATTTCTCCCAGAACCTGCGTTAAAAGACCCTAAAGTGACTCTAAAAAAGTGGAAAATAAAAGCTATATGTTATTGATAAAAGTGGGTCAACTTCTCCTTTATGTTTCATTATATATCTACACACCGACACCAGGGAATTGTTGAGTAAAATCTTAGCACGTCACATTTTCATCACAATTTCTCTGATTGAAACGTGAAATTAAATTAAAAGAGGCATCATAAAATTACAAGTTTCAGATGATAAAAACTTCTTCAACATACAATATTTTTGCAATCACTATTTAATCTCCAGTTGTATGCTTTTATTTTGAAGGCACTACCGCCTGTCTCAGTCGGTTTAAAAATTTGTAGTTTTACATCTCTCTCAGCTAAACCTTCACTCAGACAGTGACGCCACGAGTGTGATAACCCACGTTATCTTGATTGACGGCTGGAGATCGACGACAGGCCTGCTGGCTGCAGAGCTTATTATAACTCTGCACTGAAGATATGAGCTTGAGAGTAACACTAAAATAGTAAGAGGTCACATGCAAGACAATGCAGTTAGGTTAAAAAAGGATGATTTTTGTGCATCACAGTAGGTATAATTACACCTTCAGATATATTTTTAAACAACGATATAAGCTTCTACATCCCACCCACTGAATATCTGAATGTTGTGAATATTTGAGAGGATAAGAGGATTTCCTGTTTCTGAGCCATCAAAAAACCAGTGGACCAGTGGACTTCTCCAGCTGCCTGACTGTCAAGAGTCTCATGCTTTGGCCAAAACAAAACATTATGTTGTTAATCTTTGCAAAGAAAACAGCGTTTATAAGACACATTTCTGCGGGGAAATTGATTAATTTAATGTTTTAATTATTTTTTTCTTTTTCTGTTGTTGTTTTCTACATGTGTTCTCTGTCCTGTTTCTTTTTGGGTCTTTTTGGCCTTGTGTCAGTAGTATAGTAAAAAACGAACCAAAAAAACAGCTGTAAAACATTTTTTAATTAAAATAAAAAGAACTGAGATGAGTGTGAATATATTTAATTGTATGTTCAATTTGTATAAGATATTACACATTGCACGATAAGTTAATATACTTATGGTCAGTAAGTCTGTAATGTAGCCAATATTTTTAAATAACTTATGTTAACTAGACTTTTTTTAAATGGTAGTTTAATAGATTATTTAATTTTATTTTGTGTTTTCATATTTGCTTTTGCTTTTTCTTTTGTCTTATTTTTTTGTTGTTGTGAAGATTAACCTGTAGGCGGCAGAAGCAGACAACAGCTCTACAAACATTTGATCACCACGAAGAAGAAGTATAAAACTCGGAAATGACGTTGAGTTACAGAATCAAAACAGTTAAAATCTGACAGCTCGGCATCGTCCCGCAAAAAGGCTTTTAAATGCAATGGAAAAGGTTACTGTCACTGTCAGAAATAAACTACACAATTTAATGAACGATTTTAGATACTTTTCATCAGACTGTCGAGGAATGCTAATCCGAGGAAAATGTTCTTTTGGCTTGTTTATGCTGCAGCTCCTGTCTATGTAACTACCTGGTTAGCTTCCACGGCTAACGAAAGTTGCTCCATGGCGATCTATGGGCCGAACATTACCATATATAGACCGGCCACAGAGCTCCCTCGCCGGTGAAATGTAAACGCTGTCTCGCTGAGGAGGCTGACTAAAGGGCAAGCAAAAACAAAGCTCAGCCTGAGAGAGAAAAAAGACACCAGTGCGCTACCTTCACCATGTCATCTGACCAGATTATTGCCATCGTCATGGATGACAAAATTTACGAGGTGAATAAAAAGAAGCTGATAGAGAAGAGCGACTATTTCCGTGCACTGTACAGCTCTGGGATGAGGGAGTCCACGGAGGACTCTGTGCAGCTGCAGGGGCTCAGTGTCCCCGGCCTGGAGCTGGTCCTGGAGTTCATCAACACCTCCAAGGTCCAGGTTGTCAACGAGACTCTGGAGGACCTGATTGAGACCGCCTCCTTCTTACAGGTTACCTCCATCCTTAAGCTCCTCACTTCTGAGATCCGCCTGGAAAACTGCGTGGAGCTGTACAGCCTCTCTGAAGTTTACGGGACTCATGATCTGCGTCATTCCTGCCTCAAATTCATGAGCTGCTACTATCACCCCATGCTGAGGAGGCCAGAGTTCAGCAGCCTCCCCTCAGCTGACAGAGACCAGGTCAAGGAGATGCGCATGAAAGGCACCGCCACCCTGGTAGCCATCGGAGACTTCACTTGTCTGTCCCTGGACATGCCAGATCAGGATGAACCCTGGTCCATGCTGAGGTACGGAGAGGAGGAGCAGCGCTGGAAACCGCTCGCAAATAACTTGCCTCCAGATATGATCAATGTCAGAGGATATGGCTCGGCTGTCCTCGATAACTACCTGTTCATAGTTGGCGGATACAGGATGACGAGTCAGGAGATCTCTGCGGTGCACTGCTAACCCCTGTAGGAACGAGTGGAACCAGGTGGCTCCGCTCAACCAGAAGAGGTAAAACCACATCTACACATTTCCTCTTAAATATCAAGAACTGTTGTCATGTTTCACTTACTATGTCCTCTCCATCAGGTCCAACTTCAAGCTGCTGGCGGTACAAGGGAAGCTGTACGCCGTAGGAGGCCAGTGTCTGGGCACCGTGGAGTGTTACAGTCCAGAACAGGACTGGTGGACCTGCGTGTCCTCGATGCCCGACCCGCTGGCTGAGTTCTCTGCCTGTGAATGCCAGGGGAAAATCTACGTCATGGGTGGATACACTGCAAGAGGTTGGTATAACTCAAGGTATTTATTGTCATATGAATTAAAATGCCACCAGTTTATTTCCATATTGTGAACGACTTGTGCACGGGCTGCTCTCCAGTTTACATAGCTTACACAGTATACAGGGAACAAAGAAACATTTTGGAAATAGCTTGACTATCTTAAAGAAGTCTTTTCCATTTATTTCAGTAGCACATAGAGGCTGTGTGATAGTGCCGATCTGTTGATGGGAGGGACACTCTCCCTCTTATAATCCTATAAACTCTGCATTTTTTAGTGTTAGATCAAAGCTGTGTCAGTTTATACCATAGAAATTACCACCATGACTGCTGTGCATTGAGGAGTTTGCCTCTGTCTCTGTTATTTTAATCTGGACACTCTGTTGTGTATTATTTGTTATATAATTTCAATTATACTGGCCGTGGCATTGGCGGGTGCACAGGATGTTCCAGTCTTATTCATCTTATCAAACCCCCCAGTGGTACAGTTTATTTGTGATCACAGTAATCCATATTAATAGCAGTAAGTGAAGGGTGGTGGGAGGGTTTTGTGCCCCAGATGCAATTTTAAACCCACAGTATATAATTTCTGCATGATTAATGGAAAAATTTGGGATAATGTAAATACCAACTCAACAAAACATATGTCTAGTTATTTTTAGACATTACCAGATTATCCCTTTACGTAGGGTTAGAAAAGTACTAATGAAGCAACTTATTTATCATTTATACATGTTTTGTCATCATAAGTTTGGTATTTTATATATTTCTTGAAGCATACAACCCGGGTGTAACGTGTGTTTCGGATCTTTCAACATCAGTTACCCTCACCCAGTTGACCCCACCAGGGTTGTGTAGTTAAACTCCACAGCTCACTTTGTTTGATCCACAGCCATCTTGGAGGATCTTTCTGCCGCCTCAGTGGCACTTTGGGTTTTTCATACCTCTGGTCATTCCCAGGACACTGAGCACTTTGCTGAGGTTATTCCGGTATAAATTACGTATATACATCCAGGAAATGTTTTTTGTTTAAAGAACCCGTGATTTCATTGTGCACCCCCACTTCTGAATCCACACTTACACCCTTGGTGCTTCCACATTTTAGTGAGAAAGAAATTAGTTATTTCAGACTTTAAGTTTAACATGTTTTTGTCTCTGACAGACAGGAATACAAATGTCCTATGCTACTGCCCCACGTCTGACACCTGGACAGTATTTCGGTCCTGTTCGGCGCACATCCGCAAGCAGCAGATGCTCTCGGTGGAGGACACCATCTACCTGGTGGGAGGATACACACATGAGCTGGAGGCGGGCCGGCGGCAGCGCCGTCCCAGCCAGACAGAGGATGTGCTGACGGTGCAGTCCTACAACGTCACCACAGGGGAGTGGATCCAGCTGAAGGAGAACACGTCTAAGTCGGGCCTGAACCTGACGTGCACGCTGCACAACGACGGCATCTACATCATGAGCCGGGACGTCAGCCTGCCCACCAGCCTGGAGCATCGCGTCTTTCTCAAGTACAACATCTTCTCTGACGCCTGGGAGGCTTTCAGACGCTTCCCGGCTCTTGGCCAGAACATGCTGCTCTGTTCGCTTTACCTCCCCAATATGCTGTGATTGAGCGGGCTGATGTGAAAGAGTTCAGTGAACACTAACAGATAACACATGCAGCATTAATATAGGCCAATGTGTGGCTTGCTTTTTCTTGCACAGAATGGAGCTTTGTGGCATTAGCGGGAACTATCTGGTTGCCAGGTTGATCGCCTCGTGACCTTTGTGCCTCAACAACAGAAAAAAAAGCACTACATTGTACATACTGCTGTGGATGCAAATACAAAAGCTACAATGATGTATGACAGTGATGAAGCACCATGGCCTGTAGATCAACAGCATCATAGCAGCTAGCCCTGGTTTGTGCCTCATGTATTAACATGGACGTTATAATCAAGTCACATTGGTAACAATCTGTTTCTTTGAGAAATAACTTGGGATAACAGATTAAAAAGGTATTTTATTGTGTAGCAGACATAATATTTTCCATCCATATTATTAAAAGACTCTTAGGATTCTGGAAGTCTTCAGAGCAGCCGTTATCTGACAACCTTCTGGGTTTTTCCCCAAACATCGTCGGGTATTCCCCCCCCACAGAAATGGATGGTTACTACTGGTTAATACATGAGTGGCACAAACTGGGGCTATATAACAGCATGCTTCTAAATCTGTGGGCCACATTATTCCTGATGTTTACACTCCAAATATGGCATTGGCATACATGTTTATCCATAACTCACTACAAACCTTGAAGTATCTCAGAAACAAAACACATTTCTTGTTTTTATGTACTGTACATAGCAGATAATCATGAAAGATGGCTTTGGTTTTACACTGCCAGTTTTATGGGAAATAGAGGTTCCTTGAAAGTTATTGTGTGGGATGAGAAGTGGCTCAGAGGGAGCTTAATGTGTTGTTTATGAACACTTGCACGGTCTTATTTTTCAGAGATACACTAAGCAAAGCTTAAAGCGCAATTCCATGAAACGATGCACATGTGCCTTCTGCAACCTCAGTTAATAGGAACTTGATACAAAGAAAAAAAAAAGAAAAAAAAAAGCACAAAATGCAAGACTTTGTTACATTTCCAGCAACTGACCAAAACTGCTGTGTTTCATTTTCTCTCTGCTAGGCAGATTTTGTTTTCCTTAAGATAGTTCCTTTATTACGTATTGAGGGTGTGCAGACATGAAAAGTGAGCCTCTGGGCAAAATGTATTTATGAAACCCGTGAAGTTTTGGGTAAATGCAGCACTTACAATGTTTGATTTGGTGAATTTCAGATTCTCTCTGCATTACTTATGTAATGATAATAAAGACGAAGTTCAGGGGTCTGTTCAGCTGTTTGTCCTTTTAATTAACCGGCTTATATTGTGTTATTTTGCCATATTCTGCTTGTGTCTCTGAGGTTTGTTTCTCATTTTATTCAAAATTTCCAAATCAACCGAGAGACCGGGCTGTTCACAACATGTATTATTTGTGATGCGACATCTTCCCACAGTATCTTCCTTCTAATTGTCCCATGTGACAGTACATGACCCTGGAGTAAGTCCTGCCTCTGTAGATCACTCTGCTCCTTCCCAGGAAACCTTGGCACAAAGGACCCAACCAATCTCCAGTCCCCCGGGGAGCCATGCTGAATCTCCAAATAAGGATACCCCCTGTAGGAGTTGATATAATGCTCTGGATTGTAACCTCTGCTCTTGATTTTACTGGGTTGTGCAGTTGTCCTATGATCCTGTAGTAGAGGTTGAGGAGGCTAAACTCTGTAGGTTGCGATGGTTTCAAAGTTTCCTCTGTGTGTACGGGCAAGTCCCAAAGCATTTACCCATTTGTGGAATAATCAGTCAAAAATGTAGTAAGAGGTTGTCAGACGGGTCAAATACATAAGTGAGTACATAAATAAATAACATTGTTAGTTAAATAATTAAAATTGGAAAGTAAAAAATAATATAAACTATAAAACATTAATACATTTCCTGTAACCACCAAACAGTTGCTAAACTCTTAAGTTCTTTATTAGCTCATTATATTTTTTAACTCCCTAATTTTCCTACAGTTGTGTTGCTTTGTATTGAAGGTGTGTGAAGACGAAAACATTAAAATGTTTTTTTATATATCGTTTCGTATCTTTATATACCTTACCTCCTGTGGCGTCTTGCCATGCAGATAGTTGTGGTTTAAAGCCTTTACACAGCCATGATTCATCCACACAGGTGTTTTTACTTAATTTGACTAATTATTCCTCCTGTCACTGCTGTGTAGGTGTGTACAGACTGTGTTTGATTGACATCTCTCACTGAGTCTTTACTGTGACTTGTCAAAATATATCTACAATATCTGAAAGGCCTATTCCTGCATGGCTCCACCCAACTTCATCATGAGCAGAGTTGTAATCAGCCAGAGTAAGATGTGAAACCCGTGTGGGTGTGCAAGACATTTAATTTGCCAAGGTTTTTAGATATCCATCTCTGACGTCGCTGCCTTGAGAGACCTTCAGAAGAAGAAAGTAGTTCCAATTACAACTGTTCACAGTGAGGTCTATGGTTTATTCAGAGTAACTGGGACATTGTTTCTAAAAACAATTAACATGGCTAATTGTGAGCAGCACAAATGAAACCTAATTTACTTCAGTTTTATTGGTGATATAATAGGTTTTACTGTCACCACTATTATCCACAGTGCAACTAACATTTGTCAATATAATATAATCAGTTACTTTTTTGATTTTGTCCATTGTCGAATGGAATCAAATAGTAAAAACAAAAAAATAATAAAGGACTACAAAATGTGTACAAAAAGAAATGGTACAAAATGTCCATCACAATGTCCCAGAGCCCATGAAAACGTATTAAAATTGTGCCTTTTAAGTGACCAACAGTCCAAAACCCTGAGATTTTAGCATTTACAGTAATATAAAACAGGAAAAACAGAAAGTCTTCAATCCTCCTACTTATATTGTGGACCTTTCCTTTAGTCTTTTAAATTTAAAATATTGGATAATTTCAGTTGAACAGTTATTTAAATGTTTTGAGGAAAAAGATCCCCTCAGCAACTCATAGACATAATGAGACGTGACAATGGGCCCAAACTAGACCAGCCACTGGTTTAATTGTATATGTTTGTTTTTTAGTGTAAAATCTTAATCTTAATCTTAATTTAAAAAGTAACAAGTAACTTTACCTGTCCGGGTCGAGTGAAAAGAGAAATATTTCTCTCTGAAATGTGGTGGACTAGAAATATGTATAGAATCATAAAATGGAAACGTGAAGTACATGTACTTCTAAATTGTGCTTCAGTAAATTCTTGGGTAAATTTACTTGACTTACTTTACCTAGTTATCTTCCACAACGGCTGATTAAAATATATTGAGTCCAATTAATACCACCCCTCATGTGACCAAAATAATGAAATGCTCCAATATATTTCTCTTTCAGGTATTTTGATAATATTGCCACAAGATTACATCATCTCTACATCTCTCCAGGTGTGGCTGACACACGGCCATGTCTGCTGTGAAATCACGCCTCTGATTCAATGATGACAATCTCTGACTGACTTCAGACCTCCAGCGCTGCATGTGTCCCTCTGTGGCTATAAAATGCCATGTGAATCCAACATGTTTGAGATAATTTGAATACTGATGCATCTCTGGACCAAAACAAAAGTCCAACAGAAAAGAAAGTGACCAGCAGGGGGCAGCAAGTGCTTTGTAAACATGAAATATCTCAGCAGCAATACACTGTTATCTACTTCAAATTCACAAGGACTCCCTCCTTTAAATAAACAGCATATATTCTCAAAGAAACTTCCATTTTAGTGCTTTGTTTTGATACTAACATGCATTTTCTGAAAAAAAAAAAAAACTATATAAATGCTATGAAAGATAGGAAAATTAACACATCATGAACCTTTCACACCTGTAGGCTGAATCATCACCACTATGTGTCATCTAGAGGTCATGAACGCAGATGGATGTGATATTTTTAGCTTTTGTTGGTGTGGAGAGATGGATGCCTGCTAGAAAATGAGTTCTTTAATTCACGGCGGCTGCCACAGGGGAGGCAGAGGAGATCAATTGTTGACATCAGTGGTCCAGATTGATCCTCTGTGTGGTTAGATCGCAGTGATCCATCTCACACCTCCAACACAATGGAAGCCGCTGAGGCCTAATATTGCTCAAGGGACTAATACTGCAGAATTAGAAATAAAATCCAGAGTGACAGCCTGTGTGTGTCTGTTGCAACGTCAGTTTTAAGACTAGATGGTGTACAGCAGGGCTATTCAATTACAAATTCAATTTTGCCAGATTTTAAAACCAGGACATGGAGATGGGCCGGACATTTTTTACCAGTTGGGATGGGTATCATTAGGATTTTACTGACACACTTGTATTGGTACTATTGGTCAAGTTCTTTATAGATCAGTCCTATTTATAAATAAATAACTGCCTTTGAAAAATATATTTAAATATGTTTTTATTATCATACCTAAATGTTGTTTCTAGAGCAGCAACAGGATTTACAACAGCAAAGTCACTAATATCTCACTAGGAACAAATCTAAAATGTCATAAATCATAGCCTATTTCTGACATGAAATACTGAGTGGAGTTTAGAAAGAATGAACAACTCAGTCCCTCCTGTCCTCCTTTCTGCTGCTGCTGGTAGAGATGAGGGCTGGTCTGTCTCCAGCAGTTGAGTATATAATGTGCCATATTTCAAGGTACTGGCAAACTAAGCTAAACAGTTAGGCTACTAAAGACAGCTTTCACTTTTGCTTGTTTTTGACAATAAGCTATTAGCGAAATAGCGCTGTGCCTGTAAAACACAGCTGCAATGGATGAGAGACTGAGCAGATTAAAACATTGTGTTTTGCGTGTTTATCCTTATTAAACAGGTGTGCTGGTAAAGTAGGCTATTGGCTTTTTACTCACCAAGGTTTTATTGCACCACATAGCCTACTTAAGGAGCGTTGTTATCGTCAACGTCGGTAATGTTCACTGATCAGCTGGCTGACTAAACTCACTCCGTGTGCGCCTGTGTGTGGAGTGCAGGCGCACTGCAGAGACAGAGGAGGGGAGACATAGCTCACTCTTTAGCTACTTCCATACACTATACATGTAGTTTACTTTTGTTGTATATCTCAGATTAGCCTATATATGTTGGCTGGCCACACGGAGGTTGCTTCGGGGCCGGATGTGGCCCGCGGGCCGCTAATCGAATAGGGCTGGTGTACAGAATCTGTCCAAGCTGACTAGTGCATGTGTTTGATATACAGTGTGAAGATTATTTCTTTCGGTTTCCTCGGGTGAGAAAATGTGCTCTGTAGTCAGAGGTGTGACGGAAAGAGGAGGGTTCAAAGAGAGAGAGAGAGAGAGAGAGAGAGAGAGAGAGATCCAAGGACAAACGACACCGAGGGGAGGGGAAACACACTCTCAGTCACACACAGCCTCAGTAAGAGACAGAGCAGATCTTGACATTGTGAGGAAGAGGCATGTTTTCATCCGAGGAGCACCCAGGACAGCACAATAGCTCCTAAAGCTGCTGAGACAGATACTTGCCAAGGACTACAAACACACACACACACACAGAGAGAGAGAGAGAGAGAGAGAGAGAGAGAGAGAGAGAGAGCAAAGCAAGCAGAGGGAAGGACAGAAGCATTTCAGAGGGCAGAACAGGGTGGAAGAGGCAACATTTGCAGGTTTATTGTGGACCTAAACATCCTTAAAAAGCTGCATTTTGGGGTTTCTCTTCCTCTCTGCACACGGACATCCACTCTGTCTCTTGCTGTCTGCAGACAGCTCCCACTGCTGCTGCTGTGAGGTTATAGTCTTTTGCTTCTGTGCACAGCACCAGAAAAGACTGCTTTGTAGTCCAAGACCATGAGTGAGTCGAAGAAAGGTGAGCTAGCCATCAGGGATAAAGCCATCCTGCACCAGCAGAGGCGCCTGAAGCAGGCCACCCAGTTCACACACAAGGACTCAGCTGACCTCCTGCCCCTGGATGGGCTGAAGAGACTGGGCACATCCAAAGACTTGGTGAGTGGACTTTTAGATAATCTTTATGAGCGCTTGAGACAATTACTTCATGATTTAGGTGATTGGAGAAGCTGTTATGTCTGTTGCCAGGTGCTTAGCAATTGTTAAAGGTTGAGTTTGAGTGGAAGTCTGTGTCAAAATTGTACAGTATCCAGTAGCACAACATTTGAGAGAAATAGTAGGTTGTAAAGTCATATTTAAAAGGGTAACTCACAGATTTAGCTTTGCACTCCTCATGATGGACTGTTAAAAAAAGATAAATTAAATCGATGCAGCAGAATCAGAAATATCTTTTTTATTGCACGTATTCTTCTTCCTTGTCAAAACCTGTCGCCTACATTATCCACAATGCAACCTGCCTGCACACTGTTTAGTTGGCAATTAAAGTGTGTTGTGCTAGTAGCGGCTAATGTAGCCTCGAGCTGCTAGCTTCAAGCAGAGATGAGCAGCGGGCAACAGATGTCTGGTACGCTCACTTATAACTCCATAACCCCCGATTTTGTTTCATTTTCAAACTTGTAGTCTTAAGCACCAATCGATGCTGACTCAAGTGACATCACTTGAGGACATTTATCAGCCACTAAAAGCTTTAATTTGTTAACACATGTAGTTCTCCCCAAGAACTACAGACCTTGATGTGTCCTCTTTATCACCTCATTGCGACTTTGTGAGCCAAGATCTGAAGTGTAGATATTCGCCCAATTTTTGTTTAGTATCTAAGAATCTGCTGATTATCTGCTTAATTTAAGGGTTAATATTTTAGTCTGAAAACAGTCCAAAACCAAAAATATGATAGAAAACAGAAACTGCAACTTTCTTTTTTTCAATAATTTTTGCTGAAAAATTAATTAAACGATTAATTATTTAACTGCACCTTTTTGTCAGTTGACAATTTAATGTCAATTTCATGCATAAAGACCTATTTGACTACTAATACATGCGAAAAACCTCGATTTCTCTAAAGCACCATTGCACTACTGTATGTACTGTATGTGATAAAGTGCAGCATTGAAAAGGAAATTCATCATAGCAATGGTCATGAAAGATTCAAAGTCTTGCACTCTGCATGCAGAAGAGGAAATGCCAAGTCAAAGCCTGTTGCAGTGTGCACTGTGTGCAGGGCTCCCAAAAGATGTCTTTATGTATTCAGAAACACACACACATTTTAAGGTTGACATAGAATGAAAGACAGTCCTACATATAAAGCGAGACCTCATCACTTCGTCTTCCTCCAGGAGTCTCCTAAATCGACACTATTATAGACTCTGGAGGAACTCCCTGTAATAATCTGAAGAATTTATTACTCCTGTGACACATTTCTGGTTTGATGGCAGCTTACCAGAGTCCCCAGCGCTCTCCAAGAACCTCAACACAATCACTTTGGCACTTGGAAGCAGCACTTGCAGTGCTCTGTGCTCTGCAAATATCACTCTGTGATGCGTTCATGTCTGCCAGATTTTAATACCAACATTTGCTGCTAGAAAAACATCCACCCCCTTCTCTTTTTTGACTGATTCACATTTTTTTGTAATCTAATGATTATTTTCTCTCTCTTCTCAACCCTGTTCCTGGGATAAAATTCAATTTAAAACCGCAAGACTTTGCTGATCACCTGATTTTTCATTCAGTTCGACCTCCAGGTTGACATTGAGTCTCAATGGAAGTCTCAACAAATAATGGATGGATTGCCATAATATTTGATTTGGACATTCATCGTCCCTTCAGGATGAATTATAATAATAGCACCAATATCAGGTCATAATTTCAACTTGTCCAAAACCAGCAAAGGTATTTGCACTCCCAAAAGCCTCAGCTGTACTTTGTGTTTAGTGCTGATTAGCAAATGTTAGCATGCTAACATGCTAACTAAGATAATGAACATTGTAAACTTTGTGGTAGCATGGCTGTAAGCCCTCAGTCAATTACTACATTGATCATCCCATTGACTATCTCGTAACTCACAGCCCGTCCTCACCCAGAAAACGACAACATTGGTTGATAATTGAAGGGCTTAAAACAATCTCTGGTGGCCTGTGATGAATTGCACCAGGTATACGATATAAATAACCTGAAACATCCTATTTTGGAGGTTGTGGAAAGGGTGGATGATTAGTTTATTAGATGACCTTATAGAGTAGATGGTTAGTTAATTAGGTGACCTTTTAACCAGGAGACCGAAGTTCGGTTCCCATGTGCAAAATAAAGCCCCTTACCCTAACCATCACAGGGGTGTGTGCCTAAACTGTGGTTGTATGCATGTCGACCAGTTAAGCCTACAACCTCATAGTGCTGCAATGGGGTACAGAAAACCCTCATATAGGTCGTTTTGGAGACATCAACTATTGACTTATTTTGTTGTTTCTGTATAAGGATGTGTGGGGAACATCAACAACAATGATAGGGTTGAAACTGCTTGCTGTTTAATTATCAGTCGATCAAATGAAAATTAACAATGTTTTTGTGAAGCAAGTTATCTTGAAAAAATACCAAACATTCACTGGTTAAAGTTTATCAAATGAGTAGCCATATTTTTCTCTTTTATATCACTGTAAATTGAATATCTTTGCAATCAAAGTTTTGTTTAACAATAATTAGCGTTACTAAACTCCGCAGCTGTTGTAGTTTAGCATCCTAAATGATAAAATTCTTAAATGTTGTTCTCACAGGATAATATTTACGCACAACAGAATACTTTATGCATTTCACACAAGTTACTATCTTGGGAATTTTTTCCTGACAATTCATAGATTTTTATCCACTTTACAGAGACACTAACTGGGTTCTTCTTATTCCTGTAATGGCAGCCAGAGTTTCTTAGGCAACAGAGACCGCACACTATACATTTGTATTGAGATAAAATGAGAAAATTGGATGAATCAAGATAAGATTCCTCACTCTATTTGATTTAAGAAGCACAATGTACAACTCAGCCACTGGCAGCTAGTGATTCAACATCTCCTGCAGGGGCCTGAAAACCCTCTTATCATAATACCAATTATCTTGTCCTCGAATGAAGACAGAATGAAGCTCAAGTCAGTAGTTATCTAAAACCCAATCTGTGGTGCAGATGTGGCCATGGGGAGCACGATTTGCATGGCATCTGTAACAAGTGATTTTCGATGTCAGAATAGCTTTGGGAATGGGAGGAAAATTGCCAGCAGTCCTCTGCTATGCCTGTATCTCTTCTCTGCAGACAGCCAGCTACATCATTCAGACTCTGAATAGACATCGACAGACTATTTTATAAGAAAGCATGATGTGTTTCTCACAGACAAAATATGGATATGGCTCTCAGATTAAATCTTTTGTCTGTAGGCTGTCTGACTACAAGTTTTTCCATTACAAGACTCCTGAAGAATTACTATTTTCTTTTTGGCTTGTGTTCATTTTAAACAGAATGTCATACCTTAAATGTCAGAACACTGATCTTTGACAATACATGATCATTTCCCTTTTCTGGAAAATCTCTATGATTCATTATTCAATCTAGACTTCATGCTTCAATTCCATAAATATTTTACCTCCATGAATCATTGCAGTTACCCAAAAATAATTATTAACATTGAATCATTTGAGAACAATTTTGATGATCAATTTAATATTTTATCAAGCAGAAAATCCACATATTTGGTTCTGCCTTCTTAAATGTGAAGATTTGCTGCTTTTTGAAAATATCACTTTGGAATGGAGGATGATCAAGTTTGTGAGTTGCATCCCTATCTACGCTCCCGCCATTAATTAAAGGAATAGATCAGCAATTTGTGAAATACACTTACTCACTTTCTTGCCAAGAGTTCCACTCTCATTTATGGCTCAAGCTACAGCCAGCAGTCGGTTAGCATAGCTTAGCAGAAAGACTGAAAACAGGGGAAAACAGCTAGCCTGGCCCTGTCCCTCACTAACAAAATCAGCCAACCAACCACCTCTAAAGCTCACTCATTGACATGTCATATCTTGATTGTTTAATATGGACATGAAGAGAAATGTAAAAATGGCAATTTGTGGTTGCATACTGTAATTATATCATAGAAAACACCAGCTGGGAGCAGTAACTTCCTTGATTCTGTCGTCACCAATGGGTTGAAGCTGCACAAAAATGCTGAGCAGATTAACAAACTGTTAATAAATAGTTACACCACATATCTTTTCCACTTATGTTTTGTTGGTTCTGTAGCTAGCAATTTCCACGTGCTTCCAGTCTATGCTAAGCTAAGCTAATCGTCTCCTGGCTCCACCTCCACAGTGATGAGAGTGGTATCAACATCTCCTGCAGGGGCCTGAAAAAGCAGATTTCTCAAAATGTCGAATTATTCCTATCAGCATACAAATCAGAGGTCTGCGGATACACACTGCTCTTACTTAAAATCAGTAAAAATGGTGAATCAGTTTAGATTCTTAAGCTTTTATGCCACACACTGACATTTTAGCTGTAACCTCGCCTTTTTTCCTCTTAATGTCTGCTAGCTGGCCTGTCCTGTCCACTGTGTAATTCAGCAGCAGAGCTTGTTATGTAAGAGTGAATTTGTTTTGCTGCTCTTTAGCCTGAGGTCCTCTCACTCTCAGCAGCAGCATCACTCCAGCCATGTTGTGCTGCGGAGGAAGGGGAGCAGTGAGCATGAAAAGGGCAAAACCCACAGCTCAAACGCAAGAGCGATGGAGGGGAAGAGAAAAGACGGCTGGAGATAGGGGCCAAGGAGGATGTTCGGTTTAGTAGGGCTGGTTTATGTAACACAAGGAAGGGCTTTGAGTAGATACATAGATGTAAAATATAAGAAGAGTACACAGGCGAGAGAGAGGGAGAGAGTGTATGTGTGTGTTTGGGTTGAAAACATCTGAGCCCGCTAACATGAACACCTGAGCTCAGCATGGACCAAGTTATTGTGTAACCAATGTTTAATCTCACCGTTTTCTACTGTACACACTCAAACCATTTTACCTCCAACGCTACTTCAAAATAAAGGAGTGGAAAGATGAATTGAAAGCAGCAAGGTTTGTATATG